TTTATTTATTTACTTGGCACAGGGTCTCTCTACGTAGCTTGGATTCGTAGTGATCCTCCCGTCTCAGCCTCCTTAGCACTGGGATTAGAGGCATGTGCCACCACTCCCAGTTTTGGTGGCTGGCATGGTGTGCGTGGGGGGGTGGTCCCCTAGCCAGCACAGCATTTGGTACTGGAGACCAAACCTGGGTCCTTCACTTGCCAGGCAGGCACTTAGAACACTGAGCTATCTTCCCAGCCTATTGAAGGATTATTTTTAATGACATGGTCATTGTGTATATTTCCTGGTTATCTTCTTGGTAAAAGAAATGACAGTGATTTTCAACTAGTAGTGATTCACAATGACTTTCTGGAGACTGTCACCTGTCTGCCACTGCTGTGAAGCTGGGAGAACCAGGGAGCCCCAGCTCCAGCTTACCACACTGTCATGGGAAACGACCTTTTGCTGTGCATTTATGTGCTGGAGTTCAGCAGGCAAGGATTCCGATCGTATTTTCAATTTTATAGCACTGTCACCTTGGGATCAGTTTCTCAGGGTGTAACTGACCCATTGTAATTGAAGACCACGTGTGCTTTTAAAAACATTCTCAAGGTCCAGTGAAATAACTTAGTGGACTAAGTGCCTGTTTTGGCAAGCGCAGGGACCATGGTTTGATCCAGGCTTTGATCCCCGGTTCCACATGATGTGCTGGCCCTGCCCCCTAGGGCCCACTGAGCCAGAGATCTAGTCCAGGCACATAATCCCAGTGCTGGGGAGGCTGAAAACTGGAGGATCACTATGAGTCCGAGCTTCATAGTGAGACCCTGTATCAAAAAACATAAGTGGAAAAAAAAAGTTCTCAGCCCTAGTCCTTCAGATTCATCTCAGAGGGCATCAGCTCTGATGCCACGGATTGATCCTGGGGAGGAAGCCAGATCCCTGAGCTCCTCACAGAGGCTGCTTGCAATAGGACTGGGTTGCTGAGACCTACTCAGAGACCACACAGTTCTGACTTTCTCTCCTTCTCTGGACAGAGAGTGCACAGCCCCAGCAAGCAGCTGCCCCCATTTCCTCTGTGGACCAGTAGCTCAACGTGAATATCGATCACTTGTTCTGTACCAGGCCCAGCTCTCAGTGCTATTAATCCTGCTACGGCTCCTCCAGGGTGATGCTGTTAGCACGGTTTTACACAGGGGCGGAGCAACAGGTACACTACAAGTGAAGCCATGTCAAGGCCCTGCCAGCAGCACTGTCCTGAAATGGGCAAGAGTCGGATGTTCAGTAAGGCTCAGGGCCTCCGGTTGCGGACGGGCTCAGCAGAACAGTCGCGCCCTGCAAGCACAAGGTCCAGCCAGGGTTCAATCCTAGTACTGTGAACAGAAGGGAATGTAGAAGCAGGGGCAGCTGGGCAGCAGGGGAGGAAGAGGTGTGGGCCCCAAGAGGATCCAAGCCACACCCCTTGCTGTTTGGTGGAAGCTACAGGGAGTCCGGAGGAAGACAGGGTCTGACACCACCTGCAGCAGGGCTGTGAGCACTCAGCACGCAGGGAAGGCAGGAAGCCTGATGTCTTGCCCCTTGGGCTCTCACTCAGCGCTTCTGGGAGCACCAGGGCGGTTCCCAGGAAGGGGAGCTTCGCAGTGTCCGTGGTGACCCCGTGACTTCCACTCTTGTGTCCAGTGCGGATGGCAGATTCTGACCCACACCCTGTGGAAGCAGTTTCAAGCTTCTGTGGTTTCTGGGTCTAGAGGCAGAGCTGCCTGAGACGCATGCTGCTGTTGTCGCTCGCCCTCTGTGATGTGGTATTTCAGTCATTCAGTTTATTACATTTCCAAACGTTTCATTCTGTTTTTTTGTTTGTGTTTGTTT